AAAAAAAAAAAAAAAAAAAAGAGTGATGTTAACAGTTATTAATGAAAAAAGGTACAAATGGTAATCTCAACTACAAAGTAGTTTCTTAAATAGCTGCATAAAAATAAGCAAACTACACTCAAAATAAAAATGAACTACTAGGACTTACTGGTGGTGCAGTTGTTAAGAATCCACCTGCCAATGCAGGGGACACAGGTTGGAGCCCTGGTCCGGGAAGATCCCACGTGCCGCGGAACAACTAAGCCCACGCGCCACAACTACTGAGCCTGTGCTCTAGAGCCCACGAGCCACAACTACTGAGCCTGTGAGCCACAACGACTGAAGCCCGCGCGCCTAGAGCCCGTGCTCCGCAACAAGAGAAGCCACCGCAATGAGAAGCCCGCGCACCGCGATGAAGAGTAGCCCCCAATCGCCGCAAGTAGAGAAAGCCTGTGCACAGCAACGAAGACCCAATGCAGCCAAAAGTAAATAAATAAATTTACAACAAAACAAAACTGAACTACTGTAATTAAATGTACTGCTTTTAAATATAGGTATTTAATTCGTGTCCAAATGTTTTATGTATATGATTTTCCTAACCCAAAACTGAAAATGATATATATTTTTAATTACCTTTACCTAACATTTTCTGCCTCCAAGTTTTTACAGTCATCTTCTTTCTATACTTCTTTCCTTAGCCCAAATTGAAGAATTCTCTAGTGTCAGAAACTAAAGCAAAGGGTGGTTTTTATAACAAGGAGAGGGAAATGGAGTATTTTTCAGATTTAAAAATTCAGGTCAAACAGGTAGCATATGAAGGTTACAAACAATAGTAAGGTACCAAGTAGAGCCCGAGTTAAGATGTTTAGAATCTACTAGAATGAATCACACAATGTGTACGTGAGGCCAGGCGAGCAGGACGCGAGAAGAGTGGCCTCAGCCACAGCTGCACACCAGGAGTCCTCCACCCACAGAGGTGACAAACCCACCTGTAAGTCTTTACAGCCAGGACCTTCCGGCGATGGAGACGCCCACTCAAACACACCTTACGTTCAAAACACCCCACAACCCTGAGGAGTCGAGGGCTGTCTGCTTAAACATTCTGAACTGTGGTCAATTTCTCACGCTAAATACGCTTCTATTTCTAACCCACCAGGAAGCCATGTTTATGACAGCTCGCCAACGGCTGATACAAGCAAACTCTGCCCTATTCCCCTCACCGTCGAATGCAGAAGAGAGCTTCGGGAAGCTGAACTAAGCGAAAAGAACATTCAAACGCTACCGCTCTCCTCACACCGGAGGTACCTGTGTATTTCTAAAATGTGACATCGCCATGACAAACAGGAAAATATATCCATCTCAAGCTGTTTTCAAGCCCTCCACTGTAAACCCCCGTGAGGGCAGGCGGGCTATAACCACCAGCCATTTTAGGACCCCCAGGAAAGCTACCAAAACAATCCTGGCAGGCTGTTTCCAAAGGAGCCTTTTCTCGTAACGCAAACTCCCCAGGACAGTCCTGACAGCCCGACCCCGGCGGTCTTGGAGGCTCCTCCACCTGCCGGAAGCAGGTCGAGGCGTCTTGAGTTCTCACCTAAGACTCACAGCACGAGCTCCACAGAAATGTGCAGACGTCTGCAGTGGCACAGCCAATGACAAACAAAGAGCGTCCCTGATGGGCCCACAGAGGCCAGAGATGGAAGACGTCAGTCACTTACAATGCCCAGTCCAGCCAAATGACCAAGATCTTACATAAAAGCAGTTCAGCACCTGAGACCTGGGCCTGCCTGGGGTGTGTTAACCCACTGGGACCCCACCCAAAACACTGGTCAGTCATGGGCACACCTCTGATGCACCATTTTGGTTTTAGCAGAACAGCAGCTAACAGCAAAGAAAATGAACAGGAATCAGAAAACTGTGGGCCAGCCCTGGCTCCAGCACAGCCAGCTGTGTGGTCTCAGGCAGGCTGCAATCACGCGACTTAGCTCTTCCCTCCACACCTGGAAGGAAGAGGGTGTTCAGATGACCCCGGCAATACTGATGCACCATCTGAGAAGTACACTTTTTTAAGGTACTCGTGCAAGAATGTATATGGGCTTTGCATGCCAGCTACGTTACTAATTTTGCTTTTAAAAATATGACTTTAAACGGTGAAAGGCTTGCAATGTTTTCCTTTCTAAGATTAATGTTATTTATTTATTTATTTTTGGCTGCGTTGGGTCTTCATTGCTGTGCGTGGGACTTCTCTAATTGCATTGAGCAGGGGCTACTTTCACTGCAGCGTACGGGCTTCTCATTGCGGTGGCTTCTCTTGTTGTGGAGCATGGGCTCTAGGCGTGCAGGCTGCAGTAGTTGTGGCACGTGTGCTCAGTAGCTGTGGTGCATGGGCTTCAGTAGCTGTGGCACGCGGGCTCAGTTGTGGCTCGTGGGTTCTACAGCGCAGGCTCAGTAGTTGTGGCTTGCGGGCTCTAGAGCGGAGGCTCAGTAGTTGTGGCGCACCGGCTTCGTTGCTCCACGGCACGTGAGATCTTCCCGGACCAGGGCTCGAACCCATGTCCCCTGCACTGGCAGGAGGATTCTTAACCACTGCGCCACCAGGGAAGCCCCTAAGGTTAATGTAATTTAAAGGGCTGGGTGACTTGGAAAAGGTCTGGGCACCCGTATGACTGAGCTCTGACTGACATCTCTTTTCAGGTTGAGGGCTGTCTAACCCTGGTATGTGGAGGAAGAAAAGCCGGACGGTGGCTGCAGCCCCAGCCCCGCCTCGGGATGCCCAGTGCAGGGACAACTGAGGGCTCCAGCTGTACACACAAGGAAGGAGCAAAGGCGGGGACCGCATGCAGGCGGCAGGCCCCCGATCGTCAGGGACTATCCACCTGTGTGGGCCGCCCCCTCCAGAGCGGAAACACCAGGCACTCATCAGGGACCCCGAGGGAGGCCCACATACCACAGGGTCTGGCTGGGGCTGCCAAACCACAGAAGCATCAGGAACCACTTTTGTTACCGAAAGGACATTTTCCGTAGAAAAAGGAAAAGGTGCGTCTGGCTGGGCGCGGGGGCTCCCCTGCCTGGAGGGGCCCCTGCGGCTGTACCGACCTACGCGGGCGAGGGCCACGGGGCCTGTGGGCACGGCGGCGGCACTGGGCACGGCGGCAGGCCGCCCTCCCGGGCGAGATGAGGTGCAGGATGCGGCGGAGGAGGCGGGCGAGCCCTGAACGGCCTGGTCAAGCCAGGGTGCGACGCCAGCGTGGCTCTGGAGTGGCGCGGAGGCCAGTCGCCCGGGCCGCCGTAAAGAACCCTCGTCTTCTGAGGCAGACGACGGGTCTGTGGTCAGAATAACGAGGATAGGCATGAGAGGGGCGTCCTCCGGGTCGGAGTCCCCACTAGCCCCAGCCGGCCCGTGCCCTGGGCCCCTGCACAGCCGCGCCCGCGGGTCCACGAGGGCCTCCGTCTGACCGGCCCTGAGCCCCACGGCCGGGCTCCCCGGAGGCTCGGTCTCAGGGCGCCATGCCCGGAGGCGCAGCCACCCGCAAGCCTGATGGCCTCAGCGCGTGCTGTTGGGTCCCGGGAGTCCACCCCCAGGGCACCTGCCTCCCCTCAGCAGACGTGACTGAGCTCTGAAAAGAGCCCCTGCCTGAGACCACCACCTCGGGCAAGGAATGTGAGGTGAGTTCTGGTTTCATCCAGTCAGCAGGACTGCATTTTATCACGGGTTTCACAGTTATCAGTAAGTTCTTTAAAAACTGGGTAGTATCTACAGTTATATTCAGTAGAAACAAGAATTTGACAGCCAATTCTAAGACTTTTTTCAACAACATAAACTTTTTCTTTTAAGTGAGGAAGCATCTCCGAAATGCTATGCTTATCTTGCAGACCTGGTGTGCTTGGTTTTTTACCATGTCTTCAAACCAAACATGCACGTCACCAGTTTCATGACTCAAATAACCAGACAGGCAGCAGCCTCGTGCTCTCAAGCACCGGGACAGGGTTTTCGAAGAAACTTAAGACATACTAACTATCCTGAAGAGAGATTCCACGTAAAAGTTTTCATTTCTAATGGTCACGACAACAAAAGCACAATAACAAAATAAATAACCCTCCAAATAGCCTTATTCTTTCCCATTTAAGGCCTGGTAACAACATAACAAGTAATAGCTAATGAGATGAGAATAATTTTAGAATTCTGAATTCAGGGAACTCTGTCACTCCATGAAGCATGTACTCCAGGTTCCTCTCTTTACTAAAAGATACAAACTGCATCTTAGTGAAAAAATTAAAATCTACACAGATGTCCTGTAGAAAGCAAGCCTGCACCCCCACACACACACACCCAACACACACACACACACACACACACACACACTCTCTCTCTCTCTCTCTCTCTCTCTCTCTCTCTCTCTCTCTCTCTCTCTCTCTCTCTCTCTCCACTACAGTCGGAGGCTGTGCCGCCCCAACGGGAAACCCCTCCCAGGCCACCGTGACCCTGCCCAGTACCTGGGGGCGTGTAGGCCTCCAAGGCCGTGTGTGTGAGGACGGAGCGCCTCTTGGAAGGCATGGGCATCTTCCTCTCTTTGTATTTGGCCAAAGCTGCCTGCACGGCCTCGGTATGAACATCTGCATGGAAAGAAGAGCAACAAAAACACGTGTTACAAGATTCCTTATGAAGTAACAAAACCACGGTTCACGTCTTTATTTGTTTTCACTGGGTGTAAAAGGAACACAAGCTCAGCCTACACGTGGGTCCCACACATTGGTCCTAGATTTCCATAAATATTCCTCGGCTTGTGGATTTGACTTTGGAAAGACTTTCACATTTAAATCAAAAAGAAGAAATCCCCCAAACTGAAAATAAAATGAAACATGAACCTAATGTGCTCTGACTGTGGCACAAACCACTCCAAGTGGCGCTAAAGCCCTGTGGTCAGACCGTCAAGCTGCTACCCCAGACAAGCCCCAGGACGGCAGAACCACACAGGGAACGCAGGCTCTCCTGCAGTCTTGTTGCTGGTGGTCACGGGGGCCCCGCCACACTGCCACGCTTGTGGTTGAGTGTGAGAGAGCAAGCAAAGAGGGGCCTGACGGTCTCGCTCTATCGCCCCTCCCTGGAGACCAAGACACTCGTGAGGTGAACAAGACACAAACAGAGACCAAAGAAGTGAAGGAAAACCCTGCAGTCCTGAATCTGAGTGAAAATTTTCAGTGTGAACACACGTGGCATTTTATCTTTAGATAGTATGTCTTAACCTCTGTCCCTAAGAATGTCTAGGAATGATGACAAGCCCGATAGCAATGAGCATCCCTACCACCCAGACTGTGGTCTTAAAAGTACCATCCTCACTGCAAGCACCCTGAGACATGGTGGATTCTAGGGTGGGGGCAGGGAGCACACAGGGGAGCCTGGAGCATTGCATCCTAACAGCCATAAGTACATGGCCCAGTGACCCAAATGCCAGAGCCGGTGTGGAGACGCTCCCAAAGGCTCATAAAGATGAGGCAGTTGGAACATCACCAAGGATAAATGCTAGAAGGACTGAATATCAACTACAATGCTAAAAAACAAGATAAAAGAAAAGAAAGGAAGGAAGAGAGGAAGCAAAAGTAATTAGCTGCCTTTGGAGGATGCCGGTGACCTAACCCATTATTTTAAAAAGGAGTAAACAGATGGAAAGAATTGAGCGTTTCTCCAGGCTCTCCTGTGCCCTGTGGTGAGCGAGCACAAGTTTCTCTCCATAGAAGCAGTCCAGCCATTTTGCCACCCTAATGAAGAAATGGGTCTGCCAGCATCCCAAGGAGGAGAGAGACTCAGGCCTGCAGTGCCTCTTGATGAGAGAACACAGAACCCTAAGTGACCTGCTGGAGCCATGGAGCCGCCGGACCACAGCCCAGGCCCCAAGACCAAGTTATCGAAGGTGGAAACACACATCAGCCACCTGAGGTATGTGCAACCACATTTGGATCCTGGGTCCAAATAAACTGTTTTTTTTTTTCAAACCACAGGAACATTTGGGTATTTGATACTAAGGAATTATTGTTAGTTATTTTGTGACAATGGCATTATCTTTTAGAGCTAACATGCATTCTTTTCAGATACAGAAGCCAAGAATATTATGACCTCTAAATGAAATAACATGATCTCTGAGATGTGCTTCAAAATCACATGGGAAGGGAGGAAGCAGGGGGTTGATGAAGAAGCCAAGACTGAGCCTGAGCATGGCAGGAACTGGGGGGGCTGGACAAGTCTGGGGCTCATCACACCACCAAGTCCACTTTCGTACGTGTTCAAATTTTCCCCAACAAAATGTTTTGAAAGCATTTAGAAACCTTATAGTAAAATGGCTCATAGGGTAGTATCAGGAAAGATGAAAAATTCACACCTAGGAGTATTAAAATAAAATTTACAAATATCAAAGACAGCCAGTCAATCCTAAAAGCTTCCAGAGAGAAAGAGCAAATCATCTTGAAGGATCAGGAAACAGACTGACTTTACTCAGTAGTAAACACCGGGTGCAAGAAAGCAACACAGCTGAAGAAACGAGTGTTGAACCTAGAATTTTATACCCAGCCAAAGTATCATTTAAACTTGAGGGTCTAATAAAAATACTCCCAGACATACAACCGAAAACACTCATGAAAGACAGTGCTCAGGAGAGAGACAAACCTAGGAGCCCCTGCAAGAGATCTGGCTGTGACTGGCTGAGCACACACCTTAAATGTTACTGCTGCCTTAGAAACAAACAAAAACCTAAGTACAGATAAGACAACCAACAACTAAAAATCTAGACAATATCAACATTACAGGGTATAAAGCAACAGATCCAAGAAGCTCAACAAACCCCAAGCACAAGAAACAAAGAAAACTACACCAAGGCACATCATAATCAAGCCACTCAAAACCAGTGACAAAGAGAAAAATCTTAAAGGTACCAGAGGGAAAAAAGGCACAGTATATACAAGGGAACAACAGTAAGGAATAAACTTGGAGGAATAACACTACTGATGTGAACCCATGATTGTTAAGCTACAATCATTAACAGAGCTGGCTCTGCCATAACAACAGACGAATACATCAACAGAATAGAACAGAGTCCAGAAAGAGAGTCACATGTGTGCGACCGCTTTTAGACAAAGGAGCAAGGGCATCGGGGACGACGGGATTACCACATGCAAAAAAGTAAGCTGTCCGCCATACCTTGAACCATACTAAAATTAACTAAAATCTAAATCATAGACCTAAAGGTAAAACCTAAAACTACAAAACTGCTAGAAGAAAACCCAGGTAAGAATCTTTGTGACCTTGGGTTTGGCAAAGATTTCTTAGATGCGAGAACAAAAGCACTATTCATGAAAAGGAACTGATAAGCTGGACTTCATTAAAATTAAAAACTTCTGCTACAAAAGCCACTGTAAGAGAGTTCAAAGAGAAGACAAAGCCTCAGGGAAAACATGAGCAAAGCACATTAATGATAAAGGTCTTGTTTTCAGAAAGTAAAGAATGAGAACCAGATACAGTTCACCAGGGCAGAAAGCAGGTCATCAACGTCAGTTACATGGAAATGGGGCGGGGGGGAACAGGGAGCAGGGAGATGAGGACAGGCAGGGACAGGAAGGAGACCTCTGGTGACCCTACTTACGGCGCGTGTACATGCGTGTGCTTTTGTACCCAGGGCTAAAGAAGACGGTGTCAGTGGAATGTTGATGGGGCCGTTTCTAATATCCTATGTTACATGTATCATTAATGTAATCAGAAAAGAAACTATTATCAGCGTGAGGAAGTTTTTAAAAATGTATATTAAATTGGTAAGAAATTATCTGATCAAAATTTCTCAAATCACTTCATCACACTCCCATGTTGACATAACATTTAAAATCTTAACGTTCTTTTTAGGTATTCTTAAAACAAAACGGCCATTTCTTTATCTCTCTTGAAAGTTTTTCTTTATACAAAGGTTTACTGAGAGAGTTTAAATATAAAGGAAATATACAACCACACAATGGTGAAAATGTTAAACAGGCAAAAGAGTGTTCAAAAGTTATCCATATGTAATCTATAATTGAAAGCACAAATATTTTCAATGGATGTCCTGATGATTCAAATAAAATATCAGAGACAAATTTAAATATTTATAAAAGCACTGACAGAGTGGCAGAAATCTAATTAGAAGGAAATCTCCAAAATTAGAGAAAGAAAAAAATACTAAAACACCTACAGTAGTAAAGCAGTCCTTGATGCACAAATCTACCAATATCAACCCCAAAGATCTAGGTAGAAAAATGGACACAAACATTTACAGAAATTATTCTAATGGGGGAAGGAAGATTTAGCTTTCTCCTGAGATTCCTATAAGCATCCCCTAAGAAGAGAACACTTACACTCCAGGCTACATTAAAACATACTATATTATATGGAAGTTATATTTTTTTCTTGAAAAATATGATGTGGTAAGTTATGGTTCAAGTGAAAATAATTTCCGAATGGGAGGGGAGTTTGGGGGAGAATGGATACGTGTATGTATATGTACAGCTGAGTCGCTTTGCTGTGCACCTGAAACCATCAGAACATTGTTCATCGGCTATACCCCAATATAAAATAAAAAGTTTAAAAAAAAGAGAGAAAGAAAACAATTTCCTCAGCGGAGACGCGGTGTCCAAGCAGAGGCCTGCAGGCCTCTGGTCCCTACCTGACCTGAAGCACTCGTCCCGGGCATGGCTGGGCCTCGGCTTCTGCTGTTCAGGCGCGGGGGCCGTGGCTTGTGAGGGCCCGGGGATCCTAGTCTCTGCTTGTAGGGATGGATCTACTCCTGAAACACAGTTTTACAGGAGCACCTGCTGTGAACAATTTGCTTTTCCAATCATGGAAAAACCCATGTAAAACAGCCCACGCTTCCCGTCCGCTGCTGCACAGCACCCGCTGCATGACCACGCACACTGTGGTGGCCCCAACACCAGAAGACCCTGAATTTGGAGGTCAGGGCGTAGATGTCAATGTCCGCTTCCAGTCCCACCGCCCACAGCCCAGCGCAGCCCCGCGGCCTCACTGCCCACCGGCACCCAGCTGTCCTGGGCCCCGAGCTGGGCACGTGCGCACGCGGGGCCGGCTCTCTAGGGCCGGCTCTCCCTCCCCCTCAGTGTCCCTGGTGTCAGCAAGCCCAGTGGGAAACAGCCCACAAAGCCATCACTGGGGGTGTTGCCAGCCGCCCTCAGACACAGGGACGAAGACGGGTGCCGACCAACCCCGACAGGCGGCCGGCCGGCTCTCCACGCCCCGTCGCAGCCCCCCGGGCTCTCACGCCCACAGCCCCGACACCCAGGCCCTCGGACGCCACGTGCCACGGCGCACGAGCATGCAGCCAGTGTGGCCTGAGCCCTAGTTTGCTGGCATCTGAGAAGAGCACAAAGCGAAGCCTTCAGCTGGGCTTCATCAAAATAATCTGTTCAGTGTTTCAGCCTTTGTTTCAAGATGTCTCCGAAAAATCACCTCCAGGGCTCCCAGCCCTTATCACTGCCCAAAAAGCAGCAGCCTATCCCCACCTGGGCCCGGGTGGGTCCTGACCTCCAACGCTGCTCATGAAAGGCCACCTGGCCCCCAGTTCTCTGTGACGACACACAGAGAGGACAAAGGGGACGGGGGCCACGGGCGCTCGGCTGCCCAAGCCTCCCGGCACCAACGCCACCCCTGTGACTGAGGAGCCCCCAGGACACCAGGCAGGGAGGGAGGAGCTGCCCTCCGAGCCTGGCCAACCTGCAGGTTTGGGGGCAAAACGCTGCTCTTGCTGTTGTTTTACCTACCAGGTTTGGGGTGACAGTTATGCAGCACGAGAGGACAGCGACACCCCCTGGAAATCCATGTTCAGCTCTTCAAAGTGTGAACATATACACACATACACATACGTGACATACAGCAATACTGGTCAGCACTGCTTCTGGCTTTTTGCTTCTTGTGACTGGATAAAATTTCTTTAGAGTCCGTAACAGAGAACACAGAATCTTACGTGTTACAGACTATAACCAGGCATGCTGCTAAGTGACATATATGCATATGGACATCCTTACAGTTTTATTCCAAAATACAGTGCTTTTATTGAGATCGATTCATTTATTCAACGAAGATACAAAGCCCAGTAGGAAATCACTGGATAAGGGTAGGTATATTTTTAACAGGTATCAAGAGAGAACTTCTCAGAAAGGTCACAGCAATTCGCACTCCCGCAATGTGCCATTTCCCCACATCTTTGTCAGCGATGGATGTTATAAGGTTTAGAATTTTGCCAATCTGACAGGAGAAAAATGGTTCACTAATTTGCATTCCCGTATCTGCTAGTGAGGTTGAACATACTTTACTGTTTATTGCCCATCCGTATGTCCTCTTCTTTGAATTTCTGTTAATTCTATCCAGCTAAGGAGCCCCCCCAAGTGACCTGCAGAAAGCCTCGGGTCAGCTGGAGGCACCACCCTGGGCTGTGCTCGCCCCCCAGGCCATGGCCGGCTGGTTGCAATCACTCTGCAGTTTTCATTTCTAGGGAGACAATCACAACCTGTTTTTCTTCCAGGGCTCCTATCTTGTAACCCCCACTCAAAGGTTATTCAAATGTTCTCTGGAGTTTTGTAGTATTTTATAATTACAAACATATTTAGAGCTTTAATCCTTCTAAAGCTTACGTTCGCTAATGGTGGACAGGAAGAGCGCCCCACCGTTGCCTCCAAAGGGATGGCGCCGGTTACTAAATAAATCTTCCCTCCTTTGAATTGTCCTGAATCGTTTCTAGACACCCCTCTCTTACAGTGTTGGGCCTTCCACGCCGTCCACCAACGCCCTCCAGTTGGGACTATCAAGTGCACGCGAGCGGGCTGAACACCATGAAGCCCAGGCCTTTCTCACTGGCTCCTTCCCAAAAATGTACTGGCTACTTGAAGAACTTTTCTCCTTCAAGTGGGTTATTACTTCCAATGCCAGGTTTCAGGGAAAAAAAATCAGCCACTGGTATTCAGAATGGACTACATTTTGCTCACACATTAATTTGGAAACTACTACTTTTATAATATTAAATTTTTCCATTTAGGATATTGGTATATTTCTTCATATTTTAGGGTCTTGGTTATTTCTTTCAAACGGACTGCATGATCCTAACACAGGTCTGTGGCTTTCTTGCTAAATGTATTAAAAACGTTTGATGGTTTATTGCCATTACAAACGTGAGTTGTTTTATAAAGAGCAATATTGCCAGAGAAAAGTTATTGATTCTTGCATATCTGTCTCCTATCAAACCAAAGCTCTTACTAATTCTAAGAGCTAGGTAAGGAGTCACCTAGGTTTTCAAGGTATAAAATAACAGCACCTGTGCAAGGATGGCACGCTGTGCTCTCTAACACTCGCCTGCCTTGTCTGTCTGTGACGCTGCACAGGCACTGGCCACCCCAACGGAGGGCCTGGAAGTGGCCTGGCGGGCACGGCTGCCGCTGAGGAAAGGAAGTATGATGGCACATGAACGCCTCGTTGGACAGCTGCTGTTGATGCGTGGCAAATGGGCTTCAAGCTGTTTTCTTTAATAGTTTCCTCCAATTGTACTCAATTTTACTTGTTTTTGCTTTATTTTGATGGATGAATGTCAGTACATAAAGCACCTCCTCAGTATTCTTCTTGTTACTGATTTATTGTAAAATATATCATACCGATACAGGCAGAATAAAGCATGTATTCAGTTCAAAAATTATTATACAGAAAAAAACTCAATGTAACAACTGCAGCGGTTAAGAAATAAACACTCATGTGCCTTAGAGCTCTTTGTGGCCCCCTCCAATCTCACTCCACACACACGGAAATGCCACACTCACTTCAGGGAAGACCACTTCCCTCCTCCTCTTTCTTTACCAGCTACAAAAAGGTTTGAGAAGTGGCAGTTCGGTGGCTTTTTTAGTTTTACAGGCTATATTCCCGTGTAATCGTTTTATCACTCCCCGTTACGTTTATGAGATTCATCCTTGCTGACACACGTATGCATCCTGCTGACGGACGTTTGAGCACTTGGCAGTTGAGGGAAAACAATGAACATTCTTGTGCACAGAACGAGAACAGGGTGCAGGCATCCAGAGTTTCTCCAGGGCACGCATGTCCCTGAAGGACAGCTGCCAGCTGCCTCTGCACTTCTGCAGCTCTGCCAGGTCCCATGAGCTGTGCACACCCGTCTGAATCCTCTCCAACAACCCAAGGTGGGTCATGGTTTAATGTGCATCTCTCTGACTGCTACCAAGCTTAGGTAAGTATCTTTTCGTTTGCTTGCCGGCTATTAGGGTTTCCTCCAATAAAATACTTACTCAAGTCTTTAGCCCACTTTCCTACTGGGCTTTTTAAAAAATCATGTTGGGGGACCTTCTGGCTCTTTAAAGTTTAAATTAATTAAAATTAAATTAAAAATTCAGTCTCTCAGTCACACTACCACACTTCAAGTGCTCAGGAGCCACACGTGGCAACTGTTCAGTGTACCAGACAGTGGAGCTACAGACCATTCCCACCATCGCAAAGGGCTCTGCTGACACTGCTGCTTTACAGGCTCGGAAAACTAGTCCTTTTCCTGTTATTTGTGCTAGGATTATCTCCTCCCACGCTGTGGCTTGTCTTTAGTATCTTTATGGGGAACTTGTGATAAAATAAAATTCTTAACTTTAACACACCCCGATTTACCAATTTTCTCCTTTACAGTTGCTGCTTATTGGTACCTTTAGGGACTTGAGAAACCTCTCCTATTTAGAGACGGTGACAGTTTTCCTGTGTGATCTTCCAAAGGTGCTATAATTTTTGCCTTTCTCATTTAGGCCCTTAATATCTGGTTTCCGTGTCTTAAGGAACTGTGCCAGCACCGGGAGCGGCAACAGCACCTCCACCATAAGCCTGGTCTCCACAGCGGTGCACGTCTGTCTGGGCCCATGTTCTGCTCTGCAATCTAGCTGTCTTCCCTTGTGCCAAACCAGGCTGCCTTAATGATGACAGCTTGATATTAACTCTTCATATCCTAATCAGCAAATCCTCCCACCTCATTCTTCTTTTTTATCATATTTTGAATCCCTTGGCCCTTTAAACTTGTATACACATTTTTTTTTTATAAACCTTTCTTTTTTTTTGGTTATGCCGCATACAGCACATGGGATCTTAGTTCCCTGACCAGGGATCGAACCTGCACCCCCTGGAGTGGAAGGGCAGAGTCTTAACCACCGGCCTGCCAGGGAAGTCCCAAACTTGTATATAAATTTTAAAATTAGCTTGTTAAATTCCACCCCCAACAACTCTGTTGAAACACTGAATGTGCACTCTACAGATCAATCTAAGGTGGGAAGAACTGACATCTTTATAATATTTGTTCCAAATGTAAGTAAGGAAACGTTCCTTACTTAACCATAAAAATAATCATGGTCTATGATCATAAAAATAAAAGAAATCCTATTTGGGAATGAAATCTACACCAAACCAGAGATATAAATTATACTCTATGCCTTTGGATTTTATAATTTTATAGTAGACACGTTATTTGCCCAGACCTTCTCAATAAAATATGACACTACCAATGTCAAGCTCTAAAATCAAATTTTAAATCGGTTTTATGAGACGCATGCTGACCTTACCTTGAGTGAGTGGTACATAACGTGCAAGCAGCTTTCCCCTTTTCTTTTCATATCCTTTTTGAGTGATGTCACCTAAAACAACAATGGAAAAATAGAATTACATTTCTCCTGAAGTTCCCAAAATTTTTTAATTAAAAATTCATTCATAATGGAAAAACTGGAAACACTTAGGTCCTTCAACTGGTGATTGGATAAAGAAAGGATGATGCATCCACACAATGGAATGCTAATCAGCAGTAAAAAGGAACAAGCTATTGACAGACAGCAATCTGGGTGGATCTTACACGCATATTGCTAAGTGACAGAAGCCAGACTCAAAAGGCTACATGCCGATATAGACTTCCGGGAAGATGGCGGAAGAGCAAGACGCGGAGATCACCTTCCTCCCCACAGATACACCATAAATAACATCTACACGTGGAACAACTCCTAAAGAACACCTACTGAACGCTGGCAGAAGACCTCAGACCTCCCAAAAGGCAAGAAACCCGCCCCCCCCCCCACGTACCTGGGTAGGGCAAAAGGAAAAAGAATAAACAGAGACAAAAGGATAGGGACGGGGCCTGCACCAGTGGGAGGGAGGTGCGAAGGAGGAAAGGTCTCCACACACTAGGAAGCCCCTTCGCGGGCGGAGACTGCGGGAGGCGGAGGGGGGGAGCTTCAGTGCCGCGGAGCAGAGCGCAGCAACGGGGGTGCGGGGCGCAAAGCGGAGAGATTCCCGCACAGAGGATCGGGGCCGACGGCGCTCACCAGCCCGAGAGGCTTGTCTGCTCCCGCGCCGGAGCGAGTGGGGCTTTGGTCGGAGCGCAGGGAGAGGACTGGGGTTGGCGGCGTGAACACAGCCTGCAGGGGGTTAGTGCGCCACGGCTGGCCGGGAGGGAGTCCGGGGAAAATTCTGGACCTGCCGAAGAGGCAAGAGACGTTTTCTTGCCTCTTTGTTCCCTGGTGCGCGAGGAGAGGGGATCCAGAGCCGCTTAAAGGAGCTCCAGACACGGGCGCGAGCCGCGGCTAACAGCGCGGACCCCAGAGACGGGCATGAGACGCTAAGGCTGCTGCTGCCGCCACCAAGAAGCCTGTGTACGAACACAGGTCACTATCCACACCTCCCTTCCGGGGAGCATGTGCAGCCCGCCACTGCCAGGGTCCCGGGATCCAGGGACAACTTCCCCGGTAGAACGCACGGCGCGCCTCAGGCTGGTGCAACGTCATGCCGCGCACGGCGCGCCTCAGGCTGGTGCAACGTCAAGTTGGCCTCTGCCGCCGCAGGCCCGCCCCGCACTCCGTAGCCCTCCCTACCCCCGGGCCTGAGTGAGCCAGAGCCTCCGAATCAGCGGCTCCTTTAACTCCGTCCTGTCTGAGCAAAGAACAGACGCCCTCCTGCGACCTACACGCACAGGCGGGGCCAAACCCAAAGCTGAGCCCCTGGGAGCCGTGCGAACAAAGAAGAGAAAGGGAAATCTCTCCCAGAGCCTCAGGAGCAGCGGACTAAGTCCCCACAATCAACTTAATGTACCTGCATCTGTGGAATACATGAATAGACAACGAATCATCCCAAATTAAGGAGGTGGACTTTGTGAGCAAGATTTATTATTCTTTCCCCTTTTCCTTTTTTTGTGTGTATGTGTATGCTTCTGTGTGAGATTTTGTCTCACAAAATCTTTGCTTCCACCATTTGTCCAAGGGTTCTATCCATCCGTATTTTTGGTTTTTTTTCCTCTTAATATATTTCCTCTTAATTTATTTTATTTTACTTTATCTTCCTTCTTTTTTTTTCTTCCTTCCCTCCTTCCTTCCTCCCTCCTTTCTTTCTTTCTTTCTTTCTTTCTACTTCTACTAATTCTTTCTTTCTACTCTTTCTCCCTTTTCTTGTGAGCCATGTGGATGAAAGGCTCTTGGTGCTGCAGCCAGGAGTTAGTGCTGTGCCTCTGAGGTGGGAGAGCCAACTTCAGGACACTGGTCCACAAGAGACCTCCCAGCACACACCACCAGATATGGACCTGCCCACCAGAAAGACAAGATCCAGCCTCATCCACCAGAACACAGGCACTAGTCCCCTCCACCAGGAAGCCTACACAACCCACTGAACCAACCTTAGCCACTGGGGACAGACACCAAAAACAACAGGAACTATAAACCTGCAGCCTGCAAAAAGGAGACCCCAAACACAGTAAGATAAGCAAAATGAAAAGACAGAAAAACACACAGCAGGTGAAGGAGCAAGATAAAAACCCACCAGACCTAACAAATGAAGAGGAAATAGGCAGTCTACCTGAAAAAGAATTCAGAATAATGATAGTAAAGATGATCCAAAATCTTGGAAATAGAATAGACAAAATGCAAGAAACATTTAACAAGGACCTAGAAGAAATAAAGATGAAACAAACAATGATGCACAACACAATAAATGAAATGAAAAATACTCTAGATGGGATCAATAGCAGAATAACTGAGGCAGAAGAACGGATAAGTGACCTGGAAGATAAAATAGTGGAAATAACTACTGCACAGCAGAATAAAGAAAAAAGAATGAAAAGAACTGAGGACAGTCTCAGAGACCTCTGGGACAACATTAAACGCACCAACATTCAAACTATAGGGGTTCCAGAAGAAGAAGAGAAAAAGAAAGGGACTGAGAAAGTATTTGAAGAGGTTATAGTTGAAAACTTCCCTAATATGGGAAAGGAAATAGTTAATCAAGTCCAGGAAGCACAGAGAGTCCCATACAGGATAAATCCAAGGAGAAATACGCCAAGACACATATTAATCAAACTGTCAAAAACTAAATACAAAGAAAGCATATTAAAAGCAGCAAGGGAAAAACAACAAATAACACACAAGGGAATCCCCATAAGGTTAACAGCTGATCTCTCAGCAGAAACTCTACAAGCCAGAAGGGAGTGGCAGGACATACTGAAAGTGATGAAGGAGAAAAACCTGCAACCAAGATTACTCTACCCAGCAAGGATCTCATTCAGATTTGATGGAGAAATTAAAACCTTTACAGACAAGCAAAAGCTGAGAGAGTTCAGCACCACCAAACCAGCTTTACAACAAATGCTAAAGGAACTTCTCTAGACAAAAACACAAGAGAAGGAAAAGTCCTATAATAACGAACCCAAAACAATTTAGAAAATGGGAATAGGAACATACATATCGATAATTACCTTAAATGTAAATGGACTAAATGCTCCCACCAAAAGACACAGATTGGCTGAATGGATACAAAAACAAGACCCATATATATGCTGTCTACAAGAGACCCACTTCAGACCTAGAGACACATACAGACTGAAAGTAAGGGGATGGAAAAAGATATTCCATGCAAATGGAAACCAAAAGAAAGCTGGAGTAGCAATTCTCATATCAGACAAAATAGACTTTAAAATAAGGACTATCAGAAGAGACAAAGAAGGACACTACATAATGGTCAAGGGATCCATCCAAGAAGAAGATATAACAATTGTAAATACTTATGCACCCAACATAGGAGCACCTCAATACATAAGGCAAATACTAACAGCCATAAAAGGGGAAATCGACAGTAACACAATCATAGTAGGGGACTTTAACACCCCACTTTCACCAATGGACAGATCATCCAAAATGAAAATAAATAAGGAAACACAAGCTTTAAATGATACATTAAACAAGATGGACTTAATTGATATTTATAGGACATTCCATCCCAAAACAACAGAATACACATTTTTCTCTAGTACTCATGGAACATTCTCTAGTATAGATCATACCTTAGGTCACAAATCAAGCCTCGGTAAATTTAAGAAAATTGAAATTGTATCAAGTATCTTTTCCGACCACAACGCTATGAGACTAGGTATCAATTACAGGAAAAGATCTGTAAAAAATACAAACACATGGAGGCTAAACAATACACTACTTAATAACAAAGTGATCACTGAAGAAATCAAAGAGGAAATCAAAAAATACCTAGAAACAAATGACAATGGAGACATGACAATTCAAAACCTATGGGATGCAGCAAAAGCAGTTCTAAGAGGGAAGTTTATAGCAATACAAGCCCACCTTGAGAAACAGGAAACATCTCGAATAAACAACCGAATCTTGCACCTCAAGCAATTAGCGAAAGAAGAACAAAAAACCCCCAAAGTTAGCAGAAGGAAAGAAATCATAAAAATCAGATCAGAAATAAATGAAAAAGAAATGAAGGAAACAATAGCAAAGATCAATAAAACTAAAAGCTGGTTCTTTGAGAAGATAAACAAAATTGATAAACCATTAGCCAGACTCATCAAGAAAAAAAGGGAGAAGACTCAAATCAATAGAAT